GTAAATATTGCCAAAATAAATTATATCTAATAAATATAATATAATATATAAAAACATAAATATAATATTATTTATTAATATACCTTATTGAAATAAGGTGATTTAATAATATTTAATATAAAATAATACACTATTATTTTAATAATGAATAAAATAATATATAAAATATATAATAATATCGAAAAAATAAATATATATAATGAAATATAATACATAGAAATGTTAATAATAATAATAATAATAATAGTCCATATTGAGACTTATTTTGGTAATGAATAATATTATTAAATATTAGTGAATTTAATAATATTATTTAACATTTATAATCAATGCGTTTCTTGTCTTGTTACACATTGTAGAATATGAAATAATACACACTTATTTCAATAATGAATAAAATAATATTAATTACAATAAATCATTTTATTATTACAAATACTACTATTTGAAATAATTACAAAATTAAGAATTATTCAATATAAACAATATTATATGGATATTATTATGAATAATATTTAATAATAATTATTAAAATAATAAAATAAAATTCTAGGCTCCCCTAGAATTTTTCCCAATTTCCACCCCACTATTTTGACAGCATTTAAATTAGGTTCAAATTATGTAATTAGTTGTAACGTTAATTTAATGTTAATTATGTCAAAAATAAATTATGTTACCATTAAAAGAACATTCTACAATTTACACGTATTTCAAGCGCCTGTGTGTCTGACCTCTCCCCAGATGCCGTAGTTCCAGTGTGGACAGGGGCCGGAGTCGCAGCTCTTTGATTGGTCGGGTTTGACTCTCTCGTCGCAGTGATTGGTGCTGCGTCCGTCTGCGTCCTGACAGACCACGACCCGCCGCTGGAACCCGCCTTCACATGAGCTGGAGCACTGAGCACAAACACACACAAGCAAGCCAAGGCATAAGAATCTACAGTCTGCATGAAAAATTAAGCCTCAGTATGCATTCAGATTTATTTTTATTTTATAAATCATAATGTAATATGTTTCATTTAAAACCACACTGTATCTGATCAGCAACTTCTCATTAATGAGTGAATGTGGAAAAATTTCACAGTTTTGTATGTTACCATGTTATTACTGCATTTACCCCTTTTTTTATTAATTAACAAAATTTAGAAATTCTTTGAAATTTCAAATTATACATGAACCACACCAAAACCTGATGCAATTTATAACTCCAAACCAAAAACTTTGAATTTATAACTCATGATTGCTCAAAAACAAGAAAATTACACTCTCACTTTCAGATGAATAAAGTCATCAATTTTTCATGCTGTGATGGTTGGTCAACAGACGTACATATTCATGTTCATCAACAAAATTCAGTCCCAAAAGTGTGAGAGATATGGGGAAATTTTGCGAAAATTTTTGACACTAATGGCACTCCATACATACCCTGGTCAAAAATGACTCGAACACGAAACAAGTTATATCTCTTAAAAATAACTGTAAAAAAAATCAGAAAAAAATGAACTGTTTTTTGAGGGTCTTAAAACATTTGCAAAGTTTAATTCGCTTCCTAAAAAATGTGAATTTTTTTTAGAAATTTGTATGTATCTCTTCCGTGTGTAACAGACCCGACTGTTAATTCAACACATTTCACCTCAAACTCTCATTACTGTAATATGAAAAACACATTGCATCACTGATTGCGTAATATATTAGAATTAATCATCTCTATTACAACATATTACAAACCCGTTGATTCATTATCGTTCATTCAGAGCCGTTAAAGGACTCATTTTCTCACATGATATATCAGCATGACTTTCTACATTTGTGTTTAGTTTGTGTTCCTACGGCGATATACAGTACATCTCTTTATAGCCTGCATTACATCGCATTATCTTCATATAATCCCACAAACCACACTAATAAAGTCCAGTATGAAAGCCTCACACACATTCTGGAACTCATCCAATCCCAGCATGCATCAGTGCTGGCAGCAGCGGATCAAAGCTAATGAGCACGTGTGCTAATGAAGTAAATCGCAGTCAGATGACAGAAAGGCTCGCGATGAGCGTGAAATATGAAACACTCGACTAAAGCAAACAGACTGAGATTCTGTAAGAGGATCCACACACGCATGTACCGCTCGCAAAACACATGTGAGACGGAAAACAAGCTCAGCGGACAGTAATAATGATCATGCACTCCATCAGCCAATGCAATAACTAAATACCATCCTACTATGTAGATTTGATCAAATGTAGATATTCTAGTCATGTCATAATTTTAGGGATTCTGGCTAATACAATAAGCTGTTATGTTATGGCCGATATTTGATAAATAAATTATTTGTATATAAAAAAATATTTATATAATTTTTATAAAAAATTTGTTATAAAAAAAAAATGTATTAACTATTTTAAATAATAGTAATAACATTAATATGTATGTAGTATGTATATGTAGGAATAATGTATTTATTTATTCATTTATTTATTTCAGCATATAGTACAACTTCCATTGCACAGTATATATAAATGTTACAATTTATATTGAAATATTAAATATTATATTATAACTATAAATCAATATCACTCTCTCTGCCTGCTTAATACTGATACAGTAGATAGAAATTTTATAGATATTATAGAAATGTAATTTAATTGTATAGATTTTACAGAAATCTAAGTGAACAATGAGTTATCATGAAGCAGAGTAAGTGAGGGTGTCACTCACGGCTCCCCAGGGCCCCGTCCTCCACTGGTTGTCTGCAGATGGGACGTTCCAGCTGTGGCTGCTGGGGTCGTCGGGGAAGTGGGGCTGGTTGTTGGACCAGTGGTAGGAGGATCGGCAGGGGGCGGCCGCACACTCCTGCTCAGCGCTGGGACGCTCGTCCGGCTGGCAGAACGACTCGTCCACCCGATGATGGTAGTTCATGCACACGACCCGCCGCGTGGAGTGACCCACACCACACGACACCGAGCACTGGACGGCACACACACGCCACAATCAACACACAAACCACAGCACACCTTAAAGTAGGCAGCAATCCCAGAATGCACTGCCATAACTTTCAATAGTTAGTCAACGGGTTTGAATTTCAGTAGAAAATTTTGCCCAATATTTGTGTGACAAAAAAAAAAAAAATTGTATTTTGTGCTATTTACCAGCATTGTTATTGTTAACTAAAACGCTTTTTTTATTTTTATTTTTACAAATCTTAATTTTAAACAAAAACACAATATTACTGAACAAAAACACGTGTGGGGATACAGGGGAAAATAATGAAATAAATATGACACTTTATTGAAAAATTGTTCTATAATGCAGGATGTTTTTAAAGCTTTTTGAAGCGAGGATAATAGTACGTATAAATGCTTCACAGCTGGGTTTAAATGTAAGGTATTTTGCTTTTTATATGGTATTTACTGATCATACAAATGAAGTATTAATCATCTGGTAGCTCCTTATTGTCAGAAACATCACAGTGGAAAAGAAACTTGATGAGGCATGCAGGTGCACTATCCAAACTTAAATTGTTGTAATTTATGAACACTTTGGTATACAGACATAAGGTTGGTTTCTTTTTAAAGAAGAAAATCAGCAGATTATCGCAAAAGTGGAATAAAAAAAATAATAATTAAGCATCAAAAAGTTATGGTAGTTTACATTTATTGTAAAGAAAACGCACTATATTAATTTTATTTTATTTTATATATAATAAATATTCTACATAACAGGTTTTACTGTAAAATTTGTATAAAATTAAAGCTTTATGTCTAAAGAAGTTATGTTCCAAATTTGAAGTTGATAAATAAAATCTCACAGGAACCTCGATTCTTTTCATAAGGCGTTATACCACAAACAGCCACCGGGTGCCATCCAAACTCCATTGGATTTTTTTTATGCATTTTTCTGTCACAAATGTCTAGATTACTCTGTCAATATTACTTCTATCTCAAAATAATTCCTGAGACTCAGACCTTTCCAATTATATGTTTTTTTTGTCAAGATTATAAAAAGGTTTGATTCTAAAAGACCGTAATGCGTTTTGTAATATGACACTTGACACCGCCCACTAAGGGGGAGGAGACCGCCAAAAGATTTAAAGTACCATGTCCATGGTAACGCAATGTCCGATTTCAAAATGGTTTTCACAGGATGAATCTTGGGCCTCTAAGCTTTCAAATGATATATGATTTATGATGATATCTAAAAGATTTGATAGAGAAAAAGGACAACAAAAAAAGAGCGCCAAGCATTCGACAGGTGGGATGGTGAAATAGAATATAAATAGAAATAATTATATAAAATATTGACAAAAACAATCAAATTACTAAAACAAACTAAAATTAAAATATGAAAATATGAAACAATAACAATACATATATAAACAATACATAAATACTACTAAAATAACAGTTTCCTATCTGAATAAAAGCATCTAGTTTAAAGGCACAATATGTAATTTTCGCCGCTAGAGGGCGCTTATTCAAAATAAACAAAGAAACAAAGGCCAGGTAGTGTAGTTTGATGATGGCGTGACTGAGTGTGGAATCATGGGAGTTGTGGTCTTCATCCCCGCAGCCGAAAGGACTCGGGCAGAAGTCATGTTCATGGATGAGCTAATGATTTATTAACGTAGTAGAATGAAGCAGGGTGAGGCTGAAAGCCGTCGAAGCGAAACGAGGCGCTGAACGAGCGCGACGGTTATGACGTCATTGGCAGGCGACACTATGACACTATAGACACGCTCCGTGTCACTAGTTAAAATTGCTTATTTCTCTGCATTTAAACATTCTTCGAAACATTTGGGATAATGTAAGTACACAAGTCAGCAAAATATATAACACTGTTCTAGTGGTTTTTGGATATTTTAATAAAAAAATCATACATATTGTGCTCTTTCGACTACAGAAACGCATGTTAAGCATGTCCAACAGGACCAAGCGCTCGCCATGTGTGTTTGCGTGGTGCATGTTTCTCAGATGTAGAGCATGCAGGACTGTGTTTGACTCACTGCTGTCCATTCTCCTTCCCTCCACTGAGCGCAGGGACTGAAACACACGGAGGAGTCTGGAGGACGAGGACGATGAGCGCAGGACGACTTGTCAGCGATGCCACCCTGAGAGTCTCTACAGCTGACGTATCGTTCGCGTCGGCCCTCACCGCACGACACCGAACACTGAAACACACACACACACTCTCTCATGAGATCAACTTTGTCTCAGATCTTCATTAGAAGAGTCGTCTCAGATGTTCGCGTCTTCATCTTGAGATCTCAGACTCATGCATGTTTGATTACTCTGGTGTTACTTACGCTGGTCCAGGAGCCGTATCTCCACTGTGTGTGTCGCTGACCCGGCTCTCCTGGTCTGGGTGTGTTAAACACTGATGCTGCACGAGGACAAGCTGACAACTCACAGTCCTACACACACACACACACACACACACACACAATGTAAACCGTGTTCTACTAGGAGAGACACTACCGCTCAAAAGTCAAATGGAATAATTAAGAATGTTTTTGAAAGAAGTCTCTTCTGCTCAAGGCTGCATTTATTTGATAAAAAATACTGTAAAAATTTTGAATTATTATTATAATGTAAGACAGCTGTTTTCTATGTGAATATCTGTTAAACTAATTTATTTCTGTGATGCGCAGCTGTATTTTCAGCATCATTACTCCAGTCTTCAGTGTCACACGATCTTCAGAAATCAGTATAATATGCTGCTCAAGAAACATTTCTGATTATTATCAGTATTGAAAACACTAATATTTTTGTGGAAACTGTGATACATTTTATTTTTCAGGATTCACAGATGAATAGAAAGTTCAGAAGAACAGCATTTATTTGAAATAGAAATATTTTGTCACATTATAAATGTCTTTACTGTCACTTTTGATCATTCTGATGCATCCTTAATGAATAAAAGCGTCATTTTTTTAACTTTTTTTGAAATCGTACCCCAAACTTTTGAATCTTAGAGTGATTTCTGAAGATCATGTGACACTGAAGACTGGAGTAATGATGCTGAAAATACAGCTGCGCATCACAGAAATACATTACAGTTTAACACATTCACATTGAAAACAGTTATTGTAAATTGTAACAATATTTCACTATTTTTACTATACGTTTGATCAAATAAATGCAGCCTTTGTGAGCAGAAGAGACTTCTTTCATTAAAAACATTTAAAATCCTAATCATTCCAAACTGTGAGCTCTAGTGCAGATGGAGCAGGTGTTGGTTCACCTGACTGTCTCGAGGTCTGGCGGCTGCGTTACACTCTCTGTCGTCCACCGTCTCGCCGTAAGCTCCCGACACACACCTGACCGCACGCACCTGATAGCCCTGACCGCAGCTCACCGCACACTACAAACACCATCATTCACATTCAGAGCATCTGCTGACAAACACTGACGTGACAAAGGAACCGAGCGTCTGCTTCTCACCGGACTCCAGGCTCCGACCTGCCAGGACACACACTGGGGAAGCTCACAGCTGCCCACCGCAGAGGGTTTGGTGTTTGGGTCGCAGCGCTGCTCATTCAGCTTCTCGTCTCCCAGAATGCAAAGCACCTGTCTGTGTTTGACGCTCTTGCCACACGTCACCAGACACTGATGTGAACACATGCACAGATTCACTGTAGGTTAGTCGGGATGGGTCAGTCAGATTGTGTTACTCAAGTCTCAAAGTACTGCATTTTCCGGAAAACAAGTCCCTGTTTTTTTATATGCAACTTATATAACGCAATTAATGTCAAGCATGCAAAACAAATTTGAACTGGTGCTGAATGAGAGAGGTACAGGTTTATTTGTTTCAGTTTCACTTCAAATAAATTTGTAGATTTGCGTTTATAACAAATATTTTTTAAATGAATGCCACTATAATTTATGTTTGTTTTGTACTTATTTTTTCATCCCTGTTATGTTCTGAATATGATTCATTTTACAGGATTTGTTGAGACTAAAATACATGTTTATAGTATTTATAATGTTTGTAATGTGTGTCACTGATATATTATTATAGTTTGCATTAATATTTTCAAATATATTTTATTTTTATATTTTCTGTTTTCATCTTAAATTTAGTTAGTTTTACTATTTTGTTTGTGTTTTTGTCATTTGTATCAGTAATTTTGCTCTGTTTTGTAATTTTGTTGTTTTTTAGTGTAGTTTTAGTTTTTTTTGTAATTTTTATTAGTTTTTTTAATTAGTGTTTTATTAATATGTCTATGTAGTATGCATTCATTTTTATTTATTAATCTTTATTTAGTTTTAGTCATGTTAGTGCAATTTATTTATTTTTTTTTAAAGCAGTTTTTCTGCAAAATCAGAATGATTCAGTTCAGTTTGATACACAGCTTGATTAACAATGATTCAATTTAGTATTTTTAAAAATGCATTTATAGGATTGTTTAATATTTTCACAATGTATCTTTGGCAAGGAAAATACAGACAAATTAGATGTTAAATTGTCTTAATCTGAATATTAAAATAGTTATGAAAACAACAGAATACTTTGGATTCAACTGCATTATTTTGTAACACTGATATACGATTGTAGTTTTTGTTAATATTTTTTTAATTAGAGTTTTTTTTTACATTTTCGCTTTAATTTTAAAGTTTCAGTAATTTTGTGTGTTTTTGTCATTTTTTTTATATGTATCTACAGTATTTATTATTTTTTTTATTTATTAGTCTTAGTTTATTTCATTTTCATCAAGTTAAACTAATTAAAAATGTGAAATGTTGCCTTGGCAACTAGCTGAAATAAAATATGTATTTTTAATATATATTTTATTCTATTTTAGTGATTTTTAAAAAAAAGTTAAAAAAAAAGCTTTTTTTTTATGATTTGTTTCATTTAACTATAATCACCCTGGTATTCAGCTAGAATAGAGTACTGCTGTGAGAAGCACTCGATCAAACCATGAGGGCATCATGAGACTTCAGCAGGTGGTCAGTACCTCGCTCCATCCGCTGGCACTCCAGTCGGGACAGGGCACATCACTGCAGGCTTCGCTCAGGACTCTCTGCTGCACGTTACACTCTCGTTCCACCAGCCTGCGGCCCAGATTGTTCATACAGTACGCCTGTCGTGTCCGGACGCCGCGTCCGCAGCTCCTCGAACACTGCAACCACAATCACATCACATCAAAACAAGAACATAATCACGAGAAACAGCATGAAAAGTCACGTGCAAATCTACAGATCAGTGCATTATTGACTTCACTTATTTACAGGCAAAACATTATTCTTTCAGGCACTGCCCAAATTTGAGATTCTGGGAAATTTGGATTTTCATAACGTGTATTATTTTAGAATAGTGGAAAGAAAAAACACATTTAAGTCTTTATTTTAGGACACTTTATCTATTTGTGTCTCAATTACTATACATATCTTTAATGAGTTTGTTTCTTCACTTCAGCAGCACTTACATACACCAAAAACTTAAGAGTTTTCTTCTTCTATATATTCTGAAGGTTTTTACTGAGGGGTTTGGTCATATATTATTCACTTGATATTTTTTATTTCACTTTATTTATTTGCGCCTATAGATTTCAATTACAATACATGTGTTAAAAGGCCATTTTCTCAAAATGAGTTTTTTCTCCACTTCAGCAGCACTTACATACACCAAAACTTAAGAGTTTTATTCTTCTATATATTCTGAAGGTGTTTACTGAGGGGTTTGTTCATATATCATTCACACTGATTTATACAACATTTTTATCCTAGAAACACAGTGAAAATGTATTTTTTTGTGTCAGTCGACAGTATTTTCTGATTTATAGAGTGATAAAAAGAGAAATCCAAAATCCCCTCTGTAAAAATATTTTTAAAATGTTATTATATTGAGCTCAGGGTGAAGAATGCTATATTGTGCGTCACCTGAGACCAGGCGCTGTACTGCCAGCTCTTCAGCAGACAGTCACCATGACATCTCTCGCGCGTCTGCGGTTTGGGCAGGTCTGCGCAGGATCTGCCCTCCATGCGCTCGCTCAGTCTCTTGTTCTGGCTGTAGCGCATGCACAGCACATCCAGCGTACGGTAACCCGGGCCGCACTTACTGGAGCAGTCGCTCCTGCCCGCGACGTGCCACCTGAGGAGCACAGAGAAAAACATTAAAACACTAAGATTGTGGAGTCAGCGTTCTGTTCGTGAAGTGTTATATTTTTACTGAGAAACCAAGCAATTACATTTTCTTGGTTTCTTGGCTAAAAATGTGAACAACAGAACAGAAATGTGAGCTTTAACATCTTTTAAATGCACTGAAAAAAACTGGTGTAGAAACTATTTTGTCTGACAAACTGCTAGTAAATTTCACAATTAATTACAAAGAAACTGCAATTAACACATTGTATTAAACATTAAATTTTGAAGTGGACAGACTGAAGTAGTATAATCCTGTAAAAGTAATACACTTTGTTTTATTTATAACTTAAAAAAATATTTACTGTATAGTGTGGGAAAAACGGCATGCATTAGAAATGATGTGTGTGTAATTATGTTGAATGCAAAAGCCAGGTAACGATGGAAGATATTGACGGAAAAGAGTTCACATTAATAACTGATGTGACGAGCATCAAGGCTGTTATTTTTAAGTAATTAATTATTAAAATCCTGTTAATTATTTTAAATACATCTTAAATAAAATGAAATAAAATTATTACATGACAAACTTAAAAAAACGAAGTAAAATTAAAGCAAACAAAATCTTTTAAAAAAGATATTTAAAAATATAAACAAATTAAAATGATTAAAGCAAAATACTAAAACTAAAAATAAAATGTAAAAAAAAACAAAAAAAAACAACAACATTTTTTCACAATATTTTATGCTGTTGGAGCCGAGATGCTTTTGTAGTGACAGTAATTGAAGGGAAAAATGTGTACTCACTTAGAAAAATAATAGTTATTCCAAACAAAGACTGAATATCAAATCAAACATTTAAAATGAAAATATATTCGGTCAACTCAATGTTTGCAGAATTTTAGGTTTTCCTTTTGCTGCATCACTAGAATGGGACACGAGAGCCACCGGGTGCATTTACCTGAGCTCACAGTCAGTATTGCAGGGCTCTGTCGTGCCTCTGGGTCGAGGTAGATTCTCACACCTCTGCTCCGAAACCACCAAATGATCACTCTTACGAGCACACACGGCCTTCCGCCGCCGCTCACCTGCAGACACACACACACAGACGACGTGTAAGTGACTTCCTTTCAACAATAAAGGTGTTTAAGGACAGAAACGGAAGCAGCACCGAGGCATATTCGGCTGCACTCCTGCCAGGGGCCCGACGGACCCCACACGAACTGCTCCCTCTGCTCCTCGATGGGAATACTGAAGGAATATCTGACGTCAGGGTTATACAGGTTTCCCACGCATAGCACCTGAGACGACAACAGATTTATTACACAGACAGCCTGTAAATCAGACGAGGACACGTCAGTGGGATTACACTGCAGTATCATTTTATAAAAGCATTTTATTAATTAATCATTTTATTTATCAGTATTTTTGTCTTTTTTCCGGGACAACATATCTAAACATTCTTAAATCAAGACATATTCAAGTCATATCATAAAGTATTTAGTATTGGTATTATTAACTAACACTAAAAAAAAAATATTTTTATATCAGTTTAATTCATTGTAATAAAGCTGAAATAAAATAAAAATATTACATGAAAAACGTAAACTTTTTTTGCCTTGTCAACTAACTGAAATAAAGTTGAAGTACTAAAATAACTAAACCTGAAAAAAAAAATAATGCTACATATTTAAATTATATTACAAAAAAAAACTGTACTAAATGTACATTTTATTATAAAAATATATTTTATATAAAATCATGGTTATTAATTTAATAAAGCTGAAATAAAATAAAATATACATTTTATATTATTTTTATTTATTTTTTTTGCCGTGGCAACTAACTTAAGACAAATAAGTTGAAGCACTAAAATGACTTAAACTGAAATAAATAAAAATAAAGCTATTTATTATGAAAAAATCCAAAAACTAAAAATATTTTCATCAATGCATATTTTTTTTTTTTACAAAATAACATGTTATTTTTATATAAAATCATTTAAATGAATTTAAAAAGCTTTCAAATAAAATAAAATAAATATTACATGAAAAACTTTTTTGGCAACTAACTGAAATAAACTAAGTTTGAGTTGAAGCACTAAAATAACTAAAACTGAAATAAACAAATTAAAGCTAAATATTTGAAATATTACAAAATCTTAAAATATTTTTTAATAAATGTTTAAAAAATTATTACAATTGTTTAAATTATATTTGATTTTATATACAACCTAAAATGTATCAAAATACTAACAATAAAATTAAAATTAAAACTGAAAAGCTAAAAATAAAAGTTCATTCAAAATATTAATAAAAACTATAATAGTATAGAAATAATACTAAAATAACTAAATAATATTGATCTTATTATCTTACACAATTTTGATTCTTAGGTAATTTACCTATTAATTGTATTTTTACTGAAAATAAAGATAGCAATAAAAACGTTCCGTGTGGTTTCACCCTGTGTCCTAACCCGGAATAACAAAATAAGGTGATGCACAACAAGATATCTAGCCGGCTGACTGGTTTCTGTTGTCATCATGTCATGCTGGGTAGCTCCGCCCACAGTGAAAACTCACTGGTCTAAAACTGTGCTGTGGTTTTCTTTCATTTCACTGCAAGCTCCTTCAGATGGGCTGCGTTTGGTGTTGTTCACTTGCCTGCAGCACGAGCTCCTCCTCGATCCGCTGCGTGCAGTTGATCCGTTCAACCGTGGCGTTGGATCCGCTGTACTCGATCTCTGCTCCCTTAAAGCTGATTTCCCTTTTAAACACGGACACCACGAAGTTCCCGTTCAGGAGGAAGTTGGACTGACTGTCAGACAGAGCTGCAGATGAGAAAGAGCAGATCTGGAAGGTGAACCTCAGGTCACGTCTCATTCATCATCTGTGTGTGTTTGTGTTTATTTGGCCTATTGACTCGAGTGTGAACCGCTACACAAACGTCCTGGACACACTCGCTCACTTTCATTAGCACCTCAGTGTCTTTCAATCATTCGGTGTTTGCTATTCCTGTGACCCCAAATTCCCAGAAGGGTCACGGTGAAGCACCATTGTAATACCGCAGCTGTTCTGGACATGGAATACCACAGTATTCTTCCTTGAAGTACCATGTAAATGTCATGGATTGTGAATATGGCAATCATTCAGTATATATAATACGTATCAGTGTACCATGGTATTACCAGGGTAATCTGGTCTAGCTATCTGTACTAACTCACCGAGGTAGTTATCATCTTCTGGTGATCCTGAGTAGCTGACCTGCTTTATATCGATGTTGGTCGCGCCAGCAGGAATCCGAACCACAACATTATAACCTACAACACAAAAGAGCAATGAGAACGAGATGAGAAACACCAAAGATTAATGAGAAAACATGTTTTCAGCCTTGTTTGGTGAGTAGCATGCTGGAGCATCACTACAGGCTGCATGGGAAATGGTGGGTGACCAAAACCAAAGAAAGAACACAATAAAGAAGGAAATCAACAAATAGAAAAAGAGAGGAGGAAAAAAAGGGGAGGAAACTCTTACCGTATTGTGCGCTGTTGAAGGTTCCAGCGAGGGTCTTGCATGAAGAGTTGTCTCCTCCACAGACGCCACACTTATCATTTCTGGCCTTCGAGTTCAAAATGTGGTCACAACCTGCTTGCTATGATAAACACATACACAATAAGAAAGTCAGTTTCCATTTGCATCACCATGAAATTACTACGTTTATTTTAGACATATACGGCGGTAACTTCATGGTTTTAGGATAAATGCCCCGATAGTACCATGTTATTCTTTGAAGTACCAATGTGTACGAATAAGATAAACATCCAGTACCATAGTAAATATCAAAGAACCATAGTATTTTTAGATGTCATTTCATACCCGGCAGAGGCCTTGTACGCAGATATCATACGTGTCCGGCCCACACGGGGTCCCGTCGACGACCCGATCCCTCAGCTGATAGTACGCCATCGTCCCCGTGACACGGCAGAAGAGTTTACAGCGATCCTTCATCAGAACTGAGAAACGAGATGCGAGTGTGAGACTGATGAGGTTTTTTTGGCATTATTTCAATATTATTTTGTAGCTTCTGTATACTAGCATTCAAAAGTTTGGGGTCAGTATGTTTTTTTATAATAATGAGAAAGCAATGAGAAACGCCAGAGAGTGATGAGAAAGAGATGAGAAACAGCAGATAGCGGTAAGACTGAGATGAGAAACATGAGAGAGCGACGAGAATGAGAAGAACGAGAAGAGAAACACTAGAAATTAAAGAGAAAGAGATGAGAAACACCACAGATCAATGAAAACCAGTTGAGCTACGGTCACATGTCTGAAAAATGTCCTTGAATTAGCAGGGTTTTTGGGTTTTTCTGATTGGCTCATGAAGTGCAAACTCATTCTGAAGTCTAGTTGTGTGTCAGAGGCCGATGTGATTTCTCCATTTCATCTGTCAGCGAGTAACTGTACAGCATTCACTTCAGATAAAAGCATCTGCCAAATGCATGAATGCGGTCGGCACACTGAATGTGTGCTATTCATCAGTGTTTGACGAGCTCAGCAGATTTATTGTAAGGCTCCTCCATCAGTCCTGACGGCTGTCTGCGGGTGTGTCTGTCTGCCTCCATAAAACCATTACAATAATAGCTGCAGGTCTGATCTGACGCCCATCTGTGTGTGAGTGTGTGTGAGTGTGAGTGTGAGTGTGTGTGAGTGTGAGTGTGCGTGAGTGTGAGTGTGCGTGAGTGTGAGTGTGAGTGTGAGTGTGAGTGTGTGTGAGTGAGTCTGTGCGTGTGAGTGTGCGTGTGCGTGAGTGTGCGTGTGAGTGTGCGTGTGCGTGAGTGTGCGTGTGTGTGTGTGAGAGAGTGAGTGTGAGTGTGAGTGTGCGTGTGTGAGTGTGTGTGAGTGTGTGACTGTGAGTGTGCGTGTGCGTGAGTGTGCGTGTGTGTGTGTGAGAGAGTGAGTGTGAGTGTGAGTGTGCGTGTGTGAGTGTGTGTGAGTGAGTGCGTGTGTGTGAGTGAGTGTGTGTGTGTGTGAGGGAGAGAGAGAGAGTGAGTGTGTGTGTGAGTCTGTGTGTGTGTGTGAGTGTGAGTGAGTGTGTCTGACGGGTCAGAGGTCAAAGACACTCACTGCCGCTGTACTTCGGCACCCAGCGGACGGAGGGCGGCAGTCCGTTGATGTTGAAGTGTTTCCCGTCGAACTGCGCACACTGCTCTTCTCTGAAATCCCTCCAGCCGCGGGGACACGGATCCGTGTTACACGAGCGGAACTTCGTTCTGCGGCCCACACAAAACCGGCCTCCGTTCCTCGGCCTGAGAACCAGAAAGATATCTGTGCTGTTACACACTGAAAGAATAAGACCAGCCTCCAGTGACAGCCTTTTGATGGGAAGAACTGATTTAGTTTGAAAATTGGGCACATTTACAGACAAAGTTCTTAATGAAACAGAAACAGCAGCATTGTAAAATTTGTAACATTTCATACTTTTAGTGACATATTAGGGTGAATAAATATTACCTTGAAAATATAAAAACAAAAAACATCACCCTAAATACTTTAAAAAAAAAATGGTTGTATAAAAATATAATTCTATTTTACAAAATTACATATCGGAGTGAATAATTATCAGAATGAATGAATGAATGCTTTGCCACCTTCATGAAGGGACTTAGTAACCGAGTTGAGTTTTGAATGCATGTTCATGTGTTGATGCGCTCACTCTGGTTTATTGCAGTCTCGGGTTGTGCTGCATGTTCCTCCTCCACAGGTCCTGGAACACACACTGTAGGGGCCCCAGGGGCCCCATTCACCATGAACCGGCTTCATGTCCATCTCCTTATTCACACACATGCCGTGCCTGCAGTGCTGAACACACACAAACACATCATATCAGAAATTACATCATCTGGGGTCCAGAAATTAAGTGTCCACTAACCATGGTATTAAAAAAACGTTTAAAAAAATAAATAAACACACACACACACGTTTTATTATAATTAATTATTATTATTATTATTAAATATTAAAATATTTTTATGAAAATATAAAGATGCAATTTATAAATGTATATAAATATAAATTCATATATTTTTGCTCTCTCTTTCTGTCTAAAATCTTTATATACATTATATAAATATATAAAATATATAATTATATATTTATTATATATATATGAATTTTTTTATATATGAAAATGAATTATTATTAATTGCATTATTATTCAATAATTTACGCTCTCTCTCACTCTCTCTCTCTATATATATATAATGAAAAACAAATTAGTATTTATATTATTATTAAATATTAATAACACGTCACACCTGCTGGCCGTAACCGAATCCCTCGCTCCGCAGCGCTGACACAGAGTCACACAGAGCTCATTACAGTCTCGCTGTGTCCTCCTTCCTCTCTTCATACTCTCATCTGAAACAGTCTTCACTATCAAAGCCCTTCCTGCTTTCCTTCATCACAGAACCTGTAATGCTACGCTATTTTGATGCATACCACAGTACTGAAATTCATATGTTATGGTACTACAGCGTACTTTCAAAACATTTTGTGCCAAAAAACATGGCAGCATCACGGCACGTTTTGCAAGGGAAGAAACTATGGTACACTGTAAAACAATTTCTACCCATTTCAACTTAAAAACTTCTGTTCAGTTAAATTTTTAAAGGATAATAAACTTGGTCGTACAAGTCATTTCAACTTATTTTTTTATTAAACTGACTTAAAAGAATCAAGTTAAATCTCATATAACTTATTAAAAAAAAATAAAAATTGCTCAAGATATTTTGATGAGTTAAAGTAATGTAAAAACATAAGTTGCCAAGACTTACTGAGCAAACTTTTTTTTTCAGTGCAGTAGTGCGGTATATATGAAAAAAGAACATGGTGTATTTCAAAAACATCACCTTAGTAAATGTGCCCAAAAAATGGTGTAATAGTAGTAATAAAACTAGTAGTAGGTGAAAAACCAATAGGTGTTCAAAAACCATGGTATTAACACAGTAAATTTAAATAAATAAA